ATAATTCAAAGCAGATTTTCTATGAAACCAGGTACTGTTTTACAAAGACAAAAAAAACTGGTGATTTCCTTTCTACAAAGAGTCCTGTTTATAACTAATAAAACAAATCCCGCGCTTAAAGATTTAATTTCTCGAAATTTCATGAAAATATGTAAGTAGTTGGAAACATGTTTAAAAAAAAAAAAAAAAAAACTCTTTTTAACAAGATTTTTAAAAAAAAAAAAAAAAAAAAAAAAATATAATAATTTCATTCATTTCTGAATAAGTCCTGAAAGTTTCATTAAAATCCGACAATTATTTGATTTTTGCAAGAATTTCCTAATTAACGTGTGTTTTCCTCGGGAAAAGCGCAAATAAAACAAACCCGTTTTTTTTATCTTACCGCGCTGTCATAAAAAAAAAAAAATTCTAAAAATATTGTTGCGTGAAGATTTGTATTATTAAGCTTTTCCATTTATGATTTGTAAATATAATTTTCACTTAATATCATAAAGGCTGAAATTAATCCAGAATTTTAAATGATTTAAAAATTTAAAAAAAAAATGAAACCAATTCTTGTAAAAATTCATTATTTATCAGAAAAAATTCTTAAGACAATAGTGTCCTTCTTGAAAGCAATTAAAAAAGCTTTCTTAATTAAATAATGTCATAGTTTTAGTGCATTTTTTTCTTATTTTACGGAGTAATTTTTCGGTAAATAAAAAATTTAAAAAAATAATTTTTACCTTCTAAAGGGTCCTGCTTTCAGCTAAATAAACGCATCAAAATTTAATTTCTTGAAATTTCATAAATTTAAGTGGAGTGGGATTTAACAGATAAAAAAAAATATTCAAAAAATAATTTCATTTAAATTGTGAATAAGTAATAAATTTAATTTCTGACAATTATTTGATCTTTCCAAAACCGCAAAAAAGACGCTAAATTTTTCATATTAATCTTTGGCCCACTACTGGCGCAAGAAAAACAAAATTTTTAATCACAATTTCGAACGTGCTAGAAAGGATAAAAAAAGAAATTTAATAAAAAATACTTTGGTCTTTCCTCAAAATTCACTAGTACAGATTAGTCATGATTTTAACTGGCCTGAAAAAATATTTCCACAAAACTTAAAAGTTTTATTGAATTTTATAGTGAATCTTTTAGTTTTAAGTAAGTTAAAACTAAAAGATTCACTATAAAATTCATTCACGAATAAATGCTGAAAATTTCAATGAAATCATAATTCCTTGATTTTACATTTTTCCCCTCCCTACAAACGTGTCAAAAGTGCGCATGATTTTAGGTCCCTAATAACTTAATAAGCGGATAACATTTGTATGGAGGTACCTATTTAAAATTCTTAATGATTCGTTCAAATTTTTTTTTCACCCAAAATAGGAAAAAACAAAAAGGAATTATCTTTGTTTATTAAAAGGAAAATTAGTTTTTACTATTAGATCCGATTTTTTTTTTTTTTTTTTACATTTAGAAGATCATAAAATACAAATATGTAAGTTTAAATTACTTCAACCTTCATTTTTCATTCGAGTTTTTTTTATCCACCTGTTTTAAAAAGAAGCACTTAAGGTTTTATCTTAGGGGCGACGGTGCACATGCGCTAAATTTATTAAAAGCCCGCCACTATTGATAACAAGCAAGTACTTTTATTTTAAGGAATTGCTATATAAATAAATGGGATTTTAATAATAATAAAAAAAAATTAAAAAAAATCTGTATTGTCCCGAGAAAACCTAGCCAGTCATCCCAAATAATGTTCTATCGTCCCTGAGACAAGATGACGTTAATTTAGACTCCTATTACCCACACACATTTAATTTTAAAAAGCCTTTCAAAGGCACTTGTTGTAGTTTATCGTTGCTTATCGCATCTACTCCTCCCTACCTATTGTAATGAAACCCCAATCAAGAGGGCGAATTTTAAGCTAGTATTTGTTTGAATAATTTTTAGTAGACTGGCAACTTCAGTTGTAGACCTAGCATTAAGACAAGTAACATGTGGGAGCTTCTGATTATTAAAAACAAGACAAAAAATACAGACAGTAGTACCGTTCAAGGTACCAAAATGACAGTGACCAATTGCTTTTTCATTCACTGTGGGTTAACAAAACTAGTTCTTTTAAAGTTTACTCTGCTCAGACACAAAGGCGAATAAGTTATTTAATTTTCCCTATGGAAAGCGGAATGAATAAAAATAATAAAACCAAGTCACGTTCAAAATTCAGTGGACAGTAGAATGGCCGAAACGTTGTGAGTACAAACGCAAATTTTCAAGCCAATATTATTAAAAAAAAAAAAAAGTTAAGGTCTCGCCCCCCGCCCACTCTACTACATCTCAATTTTCACAAGGTAATAAATTTAAAATATAAATTTTATTGGTTGTAACCTTATGTAATAATTGGATCATATGCAATATAGGTGAACAATTCAACTAGAAAAATTGAAAATAAAAATACTCTCTGAATAGTAATACATTAGCATACAAAGAGACATGTCAAAGCTTAAGTAAATCAACTTGAGATTTTTCTTGTTAAAAAGTTTAATAACAACACATTCAACATTATGGATAAAAAAAAAAAAATAGTGAATTTTATATTGCTTTATTTTTTATTTTTTTAACTTACCATGAGCAAAACAAATTCACGGATTTGGAAGAAAAAAAATGTCCCCAGAATGACGTAAGGTCCGTAAAACAATGTTTCATCCTAATTTTAGTCAGTTGTACGGAGAGTCAATTTAATGTAGATAGAAAAACTAAAAGAACAAATGTTGATAAAACAGCGATAGTCAAAAAAAAAAAAAAAAAATGCACTACCCGGGGGCCCCAATCATGCCCTGCCTCCCCTAACCGGTCCGGGGGGTGGGTAGTACGCACCGGCCCTGATCAACATTTTTAATTTTTAATAAGCCGAAACTCACGCATTGTTCATAAAGTATTTAAAAAAGGTTAGTATTCGTTAAGCTTAATTGTGAAAAGTAAAACAATAACTTGCATAATAAATTCTGACAGTGTATATGACTATATTGCGACATTGCCTGTACATTGAAACACTTCGGGTACTAGTTACTGGAGGAGTCCACTTTTTCTTTCTTTTTTCTTAAAAAAAATAATTTCGGCGACGAAGAATAAATTTTCTAGATTAACAATTTACTTAGAGACCTTCGGGCTGCGACACTTATCAAAATCGAAAAATATTGATATTTTTTTTTTTTAAGGGGATCAAATCAATCCCTGGCTTTTTTACACTTACAGTTATTGGACTTTTTAAACTGTTTTACGTATGAAAACAGACTTTTGTGGCAGGGGTACAAAAAGATTTTTTAAATAAAAAAACAAAAAAAAAAATTATTTTTATTACATTTTCACGATTAAACAAAAAACAAGTTTAAATTTATCTGAGAAGTGCTTTTAGAACCATCATAGATAAGAAGAAACGACAAAAAAAAACAACCGTAAATGTTTTTTTTTTTTTTTAAAAAAAAAAAAAAAAAAAAAAAATAGCCAATATTGTAAAAATAAAATTTGTTGATGTAAGACAAGTAAGAAAAAATTATTTTCATTTTATATCGTAAAATATCAAAAAAATGGAAACTACGTCGACAATTGTTATTCAATTTTAATTTTTAATGTAACTTGAAATCCGCCCTAAACCATCTCGGACTAAAAAAAAACATTAATAAACAAAACAAAAACAAGTGCTTCTCTCTACTAAAGTAAAAATGTCAATGCTTCTTCATTCAAGTAAAGACTTTAAGAAGTAGCATTGACACTTAAAAAAACGAAAAAGATAAACGGGACAGTTAAAAATGAAATCTTTGTCATATCTATTTTTCATGATAAATTTTTAATTAGAATATTATACAGTAAAAGTAAAACGCACTCAGTCACTTGTTTGTTTGTTTTTTTTTAAACAAATTGAAATTCTAAATTGCTGAATATTACAAAAGTTATCATTTTTTTTTTAAATTATTGTCTGCGGCAAAAATATTATTCCGTAAGTTAAGTACAACTTCTTACATTTCAATTCAATTTCACTACTTTATGAAGATATTTTTCTTTGTTTTTCTTTGTCAGTTTAAAAATAAATCAAATAGTCCGTGTTTATTGAATTAATTTTAAAATTTATAAAGCCTGCTATTGCAATTTTCTGATTTTTTCCCGAAAATACAATGTTTCTTCTATTTTCCACTTTCAGGAAAAAAAAAATTAACATCTTGTTGAAAGTTGACTCAACCCATAATGTCGGTCATTGTGTTGACCAGCAAGTTTTTTTTTTTTTTGTTTTTTTTTTTTTAATAAGGTTGTTGTAATGTTATATTTTTATTACAAAAAGAGTTCACAAAATTTCTTCCCAACATTAATATGTTAGGAAGAAATGTTGTAAAAACTCTTCTTTGTAATAAAACAAGTTTTTGGCTTTGTTTTTAAAAAGTTGTTGCTGGGAAAGGTTGCAGTGTCTGGTACCGTGTAAATTTCATTGGATTGTCGTAAAACTAGAGAGTTAATTTTAAAAATATTTAGTGCAATATTCTAGAAATAGATCTATCTATCTCGTGAGGCTACAAGTGTAATGAACATTTTTAAAATACCAAATTATTACCATAGCTAGCAGAAACACAGGATCTGGTATGGTCAGAGTTCAAGAATTAACGTTTATCTCTCATGTAAATAGTGAATTACAAACTAAATTCAAGCCTTTTAAAAAAATAAAAATAAAAAACAAGTAGTCAGCAATAACATTTAAGCACCGTTGTTTATTACCGCTAAAAACGATAACAAAAGCTTAAAGAAGGGTTAAAACCCTTCTTTAAGCTTTTGTTATCGTTTTTTTGACTTTTGAAACAAAACCTTTACAACTTAGAAAATGTCTCGGACTACAAACTTCGTAAGTGTACTTTTTATTTCAACACATGACAAACGACCTTGAAAGTCTCAAATTTAAAATATTTCAGGTCTGTAAAACGTTTTTAACTAATGAAATGCTATTTAAATAAATATCTTACCTTTTTTTTTCCTGTCAAATCATAAATAAATCCCTAATGTATAAAAAATCGGTGAGAGATGAGAAAAAACCAAGTGCGACCTGTCAAAATTGTGGGGAGATAACTTGTAATAATTTGTGGTTGCTGCTGCTGAAATTTGATGTTATTGTTAAAAATGTTAATGTTTATTTACATTACAAATTGTTACTATGTGCCACAAGGCAAACTCAGTGTTAATGAGGTTGACATTGACACATGATTTCATAGATGATACGATCAGATAAGTAACTGATCAAATTTTAGCTAAAAAATACTTTCCAACTAATTCAGAAGCTAAGTTAAGTTTTTTTCCCCCATCCACAGTATGGCCACTCCACTCTCACGAGGGAATTACTTGTTTTTATTTAGTTACTTAGTAAATTAGACACCTCTTGATATAAAAATTATTTAAATTTTAAAGTAAACTACATAGAAAAGTTTAACGAACCAATTTGGGCGCTATTACACTTTCGCACCCTCCTAAAAGTAAAACATTTGATATTCGATATTCCAGTCATGTGACGAGCATATCTCCAGCCTAGTATTTTTAAAATAAAAGATTTCCAATTGTGAAGTTAGTTTTTTTTTTTTTTTAGCAATTAAGGTTTAAACATTTAAGATTTAAATTAAAATTTTTGTAGATTACACAGTTATTATTTTAAGGTGATTCACCCTATGCCGTAAAAATATAACGGGAAGAGAGAATGGCTCTTTCTTTTATCTTTTTTTTTATTTACCACATAACCACCTGTCCTAACTACATAAGATTTTTACAATATACCCGCGATGGGGCAACACCTTGTTCATGAGAGAAAACAAACAAGAACATGAAAATATTTTTTATTTTTATATACATATTTACATAGGTACCTCCATTAAAAAGCGATACTTAAAGAAAATGTATTTTAAAAAATGAATTTTTTTAATAAAGCTTTAGAATTCCATAATAGATTAAAAATTACATTTAAAATAAATATTCCCAATAAACAAAATACTTTTTTGGTGTATTTCAAATCGAATGTATTGTAAACTGATTGGATTTTATTCACCTTATCAGTAAATGCATCTATTGACAGATCTGTCAACACATAATTCCTTTAAAAAATTAAATTAAAAAAATATAAAATATACTATAACTATTCTGATGCGTTATTTTAGTTAAATTTGCTGATTTAAAGTTTCATCTGAATTAAAACAAATATTACATATCTAAGGTCGCAGGAAAGCATTAACCTGCAGTGTGTGTGTGTTTTATTGAATGATTTATTCACATTCTGATATTTGGAAAAATAAATAAGGGACACATAATTTAAATAAAATTACATAAATACAATGTGAACGCATTTTCATATATTTTTTCTACCCAGTAATCTTTAGAAATTAAAATATTTTAAGCATTCTAATATGTCATTGAATTTTAGGTACTTTGGCTAGCCTGACTTAAATTAAGAAGATGTTTGCTGAGAAAATTGCCAATAAATTTTAACTTTCCTATAGTTACTGTTCTTATTTTCTGATAATGTCATGTATGGATGCTAGTATTTACAAAAATCGACACGTTTATACATACAAAAACATTAAAATATGTTTTTCAATACTGGAGGTCGTTGAATTGTAGTGAGGGTTTCCATTTACGATTAGTAAATATAGTTTTAATTTAAAGCAATATCAATTGACCGCTACAAAATAAAACGGAATTTTAAATGATTTAAAAGTTTATAAATTATTCTAATTATAATTTTTAAAAAATGAAAACAATTCTTGTAAAAATTAATTCTTCATCGAAAATTATTTTCTTAGGACAATAATGTCCATAGTATATTATTTTATTCATAAAAACTTTCCTAATTAAATAATGTCTTTTATTGCATTTTTTAATTTTACGATTCAGACCATAATTTCTATAACTGGGGGCCATGTTTAACCAATTAAATTATCCCAGGACTTGTCCTTATAACAAAAAAAAAAAAAAAAAAATGAAGTGATACAATAAAGAATTTCTCGAAATTTTATAAAATTAACTGAGTAGGGGTATGAAGTCATATGTAAAAATATATTGGTAAATTTTTATTTTAACACCCGAGCGCTAATATCCCTTCAAATTTTTCCAAAATAGTCTTATTTCCGTGCAAATGTATATGCTGAACTCAAATGAACAATTAGATATTGAAGAAACCTACCTTTTTGGATGTTAACGACCCGGAAAAAATCGGACATTTTTCCTGGTCTTTCGTCAGCCATTAGCGGCTTATTGATAAGTAATTCAGTGCTGAATTTTGTTGGTGGACGTATACAGTTTGGGCCTTTTTACTTCCTTCACAGTAATTCCTTGTAGAAATTAGTACGCGCTTCCGTAAAGCGATTTGTTTTAATACAAATAAATAATCAACATTAATTTGTAAAGGTAATATTTCTCAACATTGCTATAGCTAAAAATAACTTTCTTCTATGTTTATCGCTCTTGATGTAAAATTTTAGCGCCATTTTAGCCATATTTCATCACAATGTAATTCTCTTTATTAAAAAAAATCTTTCAAAAATAAAATATACTTTTCTGAAACTTTCTTTGAGGAATATAAGCTGATTTTAAATATTACTTAGTTTAAGTTTAAAATATCACAGAAATACATTATACACGATTGTTAGCTGTTTAGTTTATTTAAGTGTTGACAGCTTGACTGACGGAAGTTTATGTAATTTTTTTCTAAAAGATTTACGGTGGATATACTGGAAAATTTCCTCAAGAATATAACATGAGCGTCTTTTTACTATAATTTTCAATTACCCAGTAAGCTTTCAAATTTAGGAAAATATTCTCCGTAAACTAACATTTTTATTGGATTTTAGGAACACATAATTAATTTAATTCTTTATAAACAAACATAAAGTGAAATACACGAACGTATGGTTTGTTTTATTTTGTTTTCAGAATTTTCATTGTATTTTGTTGGCATTATCTGGACAGAATGCATCACACGCTAGCCAGCCGATGTCTACGAGGGCAATCTTTTTAATAATGTTCACCCAGTACAAGAGCCATTCAAAGTAAATGGTTACTGTCTGATGTTGCATGAGATAAGAAAAAACAAGATGCAGGAGAGTTAAGGGCTAAGAAGTCAAGATTGCTGCGATCGGGAAAAAAACATAAGCGGGTGAACAGGCTTCAGAATGAACCGGAAACCCAATCCTAAACAGGAAACAATTGGTAAACCTCTACTGCACCTCAAAAGAACGGAGAGGAGTGTGAACCGGGCGATAGACGAACCTATCTTCTCCTATTAGGAGAGAAAAAAAAGAAGACATATAAATTGGTGAGTTGACGCGGAGTCGTTAGAAGTATAAAGTTGAAGCAGACATTATAAAATTCTACATATTTCGACATTCAAGAGCAAAGATGCGACTTCTCGAATCCGTTTAAACACAAGAGAAGGCGTAGATACGTAGCTTTTTCAAAGAGCGTCCTGAAAGAAACAAGTGTCGGTGACTTCAAACGAATCATCTCTAACAACAGCTTGGGCGGTCAGTGACTCTTCGCTGACGATTACAGTATTTTCTAAACCATAGATTTTTCTGTGGAAAAACTACTCTAAGGCTTTAACTCAAGTAAAGAGTATTTTTTTACTCGTTTGAGTTCATGCAGATATGTTTGTAAATACAAATGATTTATTTAACAGACATACCCAGGTTTTCTTTATCTTATTATTGTTTGGAATTCAGACGTTCGGGGTTTTAATATAAAAATATTAATTAATTAGAAAATTATTGAAACATTTCTCTCAAGGTCAGCTCTATGTAGCTATGTCTAGAGTTGGAAATTCATGTGAACTTAGCATAATGGCGAAAAAAGCTTTAGAAAATAGATATCTTACTGAAAATATTGTTTATAGAAAAATTTTAGACCCTTAGGAATCCATCTCTTCTTCCGCCAACTATGGGTCGAATAGCAGGACAGACTGGGTTTTATAACCTTGATTGGCAACCAGTCTACTGCAGAACCTACTGCAGGAAAATATTCTGTCTTGTCAGCCATGAATCGAATGAGACATGATCGTCCAAGTGTATATGGCATTTAATTGAGTGAAAAGAAATTCCATGACAACCTTTTCTGTCAAATATCGGTATTTGGCTAGTTTATTTAAATATAATTTAATAAAACAAGTTATATTTAATTTTTTTTCTAATCAATTCACCCCAAGCAAGACAATTGATCTAAGTTTCCTTCCTGTTTCCTAATTAGTAGGTATTTTAGCGCACAACCACGTCACAAAAAAATGTGACACAAGGTCGACTGTTGGCAAAACCGCAGAAAAAATGCTCAAGACCCCTCGGACCTCTCCTTTTGGGCACGCTCCAGACGCCGGGTAGGAATCTCAGCCCACCTCCCGAAGGAGAAATACTGTCTGGGAGGATGCACTTCTTGAGCTAATATTATTTTCAGCCTCTCCGACATGAATGAACTGCCCAGAGAAGTATAAACCTTCCCTAGTTATGTATTCACCTACCTTATTGTTGCACAATTTTATTACTGAGTAATGAGTTCCCTAATTAGTATGCATCTAGATTGTTCTTGCACAATGCTATTACTGAGTAATGACTTTAATCCTCACTGAATCGTACATCCTTGTAACCTTGCGCTAAAACTAAGCAACGTTTGATAAATAACAACAAAGTATTTTTTCTATACTAACACACTATCTTAGCATTATACGAATTCATCTCTTCTTCCCCAGCTATGGGTTAATCAGTAAATCATTATTATATTAAAAAAATCTTACAATCTGAAAATCTTCTGGCTTTAAATAACCTGCAATGGGTTGATAATCCGTAGAAAACGAATCAATCAATCAATCACATCCACACAAATTGTTAACTGCATTCGCGACAAAATATTTTAACTCCTCTTACAATTAAAAATCGGTTGACTAACGGAGAAATGAATCTCTTTACCTAAAAATAATTTTCTGCCTCCTGATAAAATTCATCTAAAAAAAAAATGGCTATCATATTATAAACTG